GAGATGCAAACATGCTACAAACTGAAAGCAACACACCAAATGTAAACGCAGACACTAAAGTTCTGTAACATTATGCCTGACACACTTCCCAATGCTGCTCTCTGTGGTTACCTCAACTATGCCGTTGACCATATTGCAGAAAAAACCTCAAACAATTAAAAAACCCACCAAACTCAAAACATACCAAGACTCTCATGTCTAGTCTGGCTCTTCTTTATCTAAGAGAAATTTAAAGTGGAGAAGCTCAGAAAATAAAGACTGACAGATGGACAAAAGCACATTTACCAAAAAGGAGAAAAGAAAGAACTTTCGTGTTTTAAGAAAGGTGAAGTTTTCATGTAAGCTGATACAAGCAGAAGCATGTTACTTCACACACGACTGACTGCCTGTTCCCAATCCACTACTTAAACACACAAACAAGAAGACCAAGCTTTACATATTTTTAAGCAAATTGCAAAACGCAACTCGAAGTTTAAGGTTAATGTAGTCAGCACACCTGAAGCCAAACAATACTGCCAAAAAGTACTTCCTAAGATCACAGACAGAAATGCTATGCAGACAAAACAAAACACAGGAGAGGTCTGTAACATTATCAGTGCCTTGGTTTGAATCACTACTACTGCAGGTAAAAACCCATCATACAAAACCAGGCTCACTGGGATGTATAGTAAACACCACAGCTTGGTGGGAGTACAGATTCACCACCTCTTTATTTGTATAATATACTAAATATAAATATATAGATAGATAGATAATATACTAAAATACAAGCTAAGCCTTTGCCAGTCCACCATTATATCATTCCAGGGTGGGAAATTTGCAGCAAGGAGCTTCCTGCTCCGAGACTCAAGGACTGCTGTACATCCCAGCGCGTAACTCCATTCTAAAAGCTTTCAGAGTTCACTCCCGAGCACAACAGTCCCAGGTGAGCCTCTTCCATTACGCTTTAGAGCCAGCCTACGATGGAGGTAGTCAGTGAAGCAGAATGGGTTAAAAATAATAGCAATTTAGTTGTTTACACATTTTGAACTAGACATGCAATCGCGGGTCTAAAATTACAGTATGCTCATGAAGAAGCAGGACTATTTTTTCAAGCTTGTTGCCTAAACTCAGAATATCATGATAAGGTAATCTGTGTTTCAAGATCACCTTGTTCTGTCAGCCCGTGGCTATGCATCACTGTTTAAACTGTTCTAACACTTTCAGAAACTGAAGTTCATCGAGATGGGGCTTGGCCATGCTGGTAATGACTGGTGTAGCTGTATGGCTCATTTTGGTACAGCAAAGCAAAGCAAACAAGGGGAGCGTGTACCTAAAGCATAACCAAACAGTTGCGTTTTAATTCTACCTGCAGAGGTGCTCATTAACAGGAAAACAAACAAACCGAGGAAATCTTGCCACTTTCACATGGGGAAAGTGTCAACATTCAGGCCATTTGATGAAGCAGGGCATCTTCTACTGAGACCCAGCAAGCAGGATATTTCCTCCTGGCCACTGTATTCGTTAGCAAATCGCATACTGAAAGTGAGTTTAAGGCCCTTGAAATGGTGATTTAAGAAAAAAAAAAAACAGCACCCCACAGTCACAAACTATAGGCCTAGAACTGCCAAATCCCACTATGTTACAAAGCTCATTCTCATATTTGATTCTTTGTCTCTACATGAATCTCCAGTGACAACACACAGCTAAAACTTTCCAGGTGAGTGAAAAAGCAGGTCCTCTAAAAATTACAGCTACACTTTTAAGTCAACTGACAGTACGTGAGAAACCTTCAAATTAATTTTAGAACCACTAGAGAAATGCCTCTTTGCAGCAGGGGTTACCTTGATGAAACTACTCTCGTTGCCCTGTAGCACTGCAGCATCAACCATCGATCTTCTGCCATTTAACTTAATTAAAGCAAACCCTCTGCCTGCAAAGTATACAGCAGGTCTAGACAGAGATAGGGATGAAAGCACCAAATGCCTCTCAACCCATCAAACTGTTCTTTAAGAGTTTGAAAGGGGAAAAGTAATCAATACCATCTGCATTAACATCACTCAGCCCTTCTACTATCGTATATGATTAGGCTCTAGAATACAATCCGTTGCAGACACCATATGTATAAAGTTACCTAGTCTGAATCATTTCAAATGAGTTTACTCTTATCAGACGGGGAAGACAAACAACTTTAATGTGTAAAGCAAGTAAACCAAATAGAAGTGCAAAATAACATATTATAAGTGGTCTACAAAATTAGGAGAGCATGCAGGATGCAATCTTTCAAACACAGCAAGCATGATGTCTCAGCCTGCTTGAAAAAGCAGGATTAAGAATACCTGGTTTACTAAAAAATATAGTGACACTGACACATCTACCACCTGGCACTCCCAAGCCGTTTCTTTTTCATTCCTGCACTATCCTATCCACTTTATTCTCTCTCCTGCAATCCACATGCTTGGTTTTCTTTCACTTTCTGTATGTATATGGCCTAATTTTAAATAAAGCAAAACAAAAACCTCAGAGTTACATCTCTTGACCAAGCAGCACAAGAAAATTAAGACTTAAAAGAATTTAAAGCAGCCAAACGCATACCTGTACCAACTGAGAAAGATTTTAATAGAATAATGACATCATTTGGCTCAGTTTGTTCCAACTCTCATAGAATACAAATGCCTCTTGCATGCTTTCCAAGACATCAACTGCAAGTGTTACTAGTGGCCTTATCTGCATGTTTTTCTTCTCTGAACAAGAACACCATACCTCAAGTGCTGTGCAAGTTTCTGGGGGCTTATCTGCAGAACAGGATGAGCATCTTGCGATCAATGAAAGAAGAAAGATAAACTGGACAACTCTGATCAGTGAGAAACACACATACCTTAATTCATTGCCCTCAAGTAAGCGAAACCAATATACACCTTGATGGATTAAACATAAGTTAAGACAACCTCTGAAGACACATGCAAATCACACAGGTATTTTAGCTGTGCTTTACGGATGAAAACAACTAGAGAAAAGCACAAAGGACCACCTTTATCTGCAACACTGCCAGACACAGTTTGAAGTAAAACACCACCGAGTTTTTCAAAGTTACACTAAACACACACCACACCATCTTCACCTTTTGGCTTAAAGCATTTATCCAAGAAGTTACAGTCTAATTAGGTTATTTAAAAAGGCACATCTGTAGACTGCTCAGAGCAACTGCTTCAATTTTAATTAGTGAGGCTTCAGCCCAGAAAAGCCCGGGATGTCAGTCTGACTGTCTCTAACCCCCCCCCGAAGCCTGGAAACGTGAACAGTCTCAGCCCCTTCAGCTAAACCACTATTCGGTTCTCACGGCAGTGACCTCTTGGGAAATTTACCATCGCTGGCTCCAGCCACACCACTGGATCCAGCCTATCAGAGATAACAGGCACAGAAACCCACACCGCAGACAAAACCATGCTGCTCCCATCCCTGCGCCCCAATTTAACCCTTTATACCCTTCCCTCCGGCCCCGCCGCGTCAGACGTCGCTGCAGTCCCACTTTGAAACCTGCACTAAAAATCCACACAAGAAAAGCTGCAACCCGCACCGCTCACGGGCCGGGGGGGGGCCGCACCGCTGCGGAGCCAGCCACAGCTTCTCCCCGAAGGCGGCAAGGGGCACAGCCGACCGCAACCGGCGCCCCTCACTGCCCCGCCCCAGGAGCTCCCGCAGGCACCCCTCCCGCGGCGGCCGAGTGGGGCAGGCCGGGCCCCCGCCACTCACTTGCCCTCCTGGCAGTCGTAGAGAACGATGGAGTCGTCGTCGCTGCTAGAGATGACGGTCTCGCCGTTGGGGCTGAAGTCGAAGCAGTTGATCTTATCCGAGTTCTCGCGGAACACCTTGGCCACACGGAAGCTCCGCAGCACGTTGTCCGTCAGCTTCATTCCGCCGCCGGGCCGGGCCGCGCCGAGGGCGGCGGCGCTGAGGAGGAGCCGGGCGGGGCTCCTAGCGGTGGCGGCGGCTGCGGGAGCGGGCGGGCAGGGCCTCGCGGGGCGGCGGGGACCAGGCAGGGGGCAGCAGAAGGGGGCAGTGAGGGATCGGCGGGGCCGGGCGGCACCCTCCGGCTGAGCTCGGCCCACTCAGGCCGCAGGGACGCGGCTGCTCCTCATTGTGCCCGCCATCTTGCTGCTCGGGGAACGGCAGCGAGCGGCGCGCTGGGCACCACGGGAAGGGGAAGGGGGAGAGCGGGCGGCGAGCACTGCCTGCTGGGATAGGGGAGAAGGCCGCGGTCGGGGTGGCCCGTGCCCGGCAGCCATGTTGAGTGCGGCGGGAAGGTCCTCCCGGGCCGCGGACGGACGGGGCTCGGGGTCGGGAAGGGGCAGCCCGGGGCTGGCGGCACCCACCGGGCCGGGCGGGGCGGGGCGGGGGAAGCCGGGCTGAGGGCGTGACATCATCCCGAAGGGCGGGCAACGGCTTCGAGCCGCTGGGCTGCGCGGGAGCGCGTCACTTCCGGTGCCGGGCAATGCTGGAGCCGCGCCGCTGCAGCACGTGAGGTGTGGGCGCCCCCCCGCTGCGCGCCCCCGCTGCGCGCCCCCGCCGCCGGCAGAACGCGTTTTCCGCCGCAGCTTCCGAGGGAGCTGGGGGAAAGCGGCGGAACGCGGCCTCGTCTGGTCGGGGGGGCCGGGGCGTCCCCAGGGATCCGCCCCGGGAACGCGTCTCGCGGGTGTTTGAGCCGTGTCCCCCTCCTTCAGGCACAGGTCCGGTCGCCTCGCTTTGTGCCCCTGCCTTCATAGGACCACGCAAGTGTTTGGCTTGGAAAAGACCTTTGAGATCATCAAGCCCGAGCGCTACCCCAGAACCACCCCGGTGCCCACCACTAAGCCGTGTCCCCAAGTGCGGCATCTACAGGCCTTTGAAACGCCACCAGGGACGGTGACTTCACCGCTTCACCTCCCTGGGAAGACTTGTTCCGGTGCCTCACCCTTTTGGTGGAGACGTTTTCCCGATACCGCATCCAGGCCTCCCCCAGCCGTTATTACACATCTTTGTTTCTCAGTATTATTTATTCTTCCAAACCCTGGGCCCCGAGCAGTGCTACAGGAACACCACAGCTCGCGTCCCGTAAGATGTCAGGTACAGATGAGCACCGCACAGCCTGTGAGAAAGGCACCTTGGCGTTTGAGGCTGGTGCTCCAACACAGACACGTTGGAACTGCTACTCTTTTCTATCGTGAATCCCGATGTCAGGCTCTGTAGTCATGTTTTTGTACATCTCTTACCTTAAAAAGTTATTCCTGGGGTATAACAGCAGCTGTGAGAATCTCCCCCACCCCCAAAGATTGCCAGTGCCCCACTAGTTTCATTTTAGAACGCCAGCTCCTTTGTCATTTCTACCTCTCAGGAACTCAGAATCAAAACCCCCAACAAAACGTAGATAGATGCCTTCATAAATGCTAATGGTATTCTCCTTTCAGTCTCCAGAGTAGAGTTCGATTTTGCTTTTAGAATAATATTGCCCTCCTGTGGTCAAACAACAGTAACTCCGGGAACTATTGCCAGAGGTCTGCATGCTCGTCCTTCAAACATGCTGACTTACTTTATGTGCAGATACAATTCAGTGAAACACAAGTCTTCTCTCAGATTACTTGCTCCCACTGTTCACCGTTACAGGTTTAGCCGTCTAACCTGATTCACCCCTTCATGCTGTGATGGGATCGGCTCATCGGGATGATTCACCCATGTTACTTTGATACGGAGGCAGGATTTTCACACCAGTGTCTGGGGACTCTCAACACAAGACACCTTTGTTGCTTCTGAGGCCTCGGGGTCAGCTGCACGATTGCAGGTCAGTGCAAAACCCACAGCTGATCTCTGTGTGATGGGAGGTTGTAGAGAAGCACAGAATTCTTGCACACTGTGACTTGCATGATCAAAGCCTGGATTATCTGATGTGGGCCCTGAAGGTGACTCACTGATACCATCATAAGGCAATTTACTTCAAAACACCTACAATACTTAGGTTAGTTTTACAGTTGTATAACACTGTGGGTTGTTGATTTGATATTTTGTCACTCCCTTATTCTTTCTTCTGCCTTTGTTCCTGATGGCTGGAACTTCATTTGTCAGTTTATACCCAGCTGGAATTTATGTGGCGGGATAATTGGATCTCCTAGCAAACTGTCATATTAAGTAGGCATTATAGATAATGGCCCTAGTTAATGGAAAAAAATGCTTAACTGCTACTTGAATAATATTGATCAAATGCAGTCATTCTACCTGTGCATTTCCATATTAGGTACCACCATAACCTGCACAATACAAACAGACCTGTGCTTGCTCAGGTGAGTGCTTGTGAATTTTAGAGAGATGCTTCTGGAAACAACACTGCTCAGGTGAATATATTTCTGCTGAACTCCAGTGGGGGTGATGGCTCTCTGTGGGTAGCAATTATGACTTAACACTTGTGTGGAGAGGGGCTTGCATCCTACAACTTGGCTTCTCTTTATGGGCTCTTGAAACTAAGCGTGATGCTCAGGACCACTGAACTCTGACCCTGCTGTTACCACATGGAATCGCAGAAGTGTGGGGAGAAGGGACCCCTGGAGCTACCTGCTCCGCGCTCTGCTCAGTGCAGGATGGTCACCAGCACAAGATCAGCTTGGCCATGGCTTTGTCTAGCCAAACCCTGAAAACCACCTAGCGCGGAGAGCACAGCTTCTCTGCGTGGCCTGATCCAGTACTGTGCAACCCTCCCTGTAAAGAACTCTTCAGTCATGTCCAATGTGAATGTCCTCACTTGCAAATTCTGGCCGTTGCTCCTTACTTATACTTTCTGCCACTACTAAGAAGGGTTCATAGCTGCTGTCTTTATAGCCACCCTTCAAGTTGCTGTAGCTGCTGTTGGGTTGCTCCATAGCTGGTTGCACCACTTGATTCCCAGAGTGCCCTGATGCACAGGGGGATCCTGCCCCAGCAGCAAAACTTCATACTTCTCCTTGCTTATGACACGAGGTTTCCGTTGGCCCTGACTTTGAGTTTATCACAATTCCTCTGGAAGGTGGCTCCAGCAGCACCTCTCCCAAATCAAGCACTTTGGGCTGCCCTCCGTATTGAAGCCGTAGGGCGACATGAACCGCAGCAGAGCCCTTGTTGATTACCAGCTGTCAACTGGGCTGCGAGCCACTGATTTCTACCCTCTGAGCCCAGTGCTCCAGCTGTTTTTCAATGAATCCAACAGTATGTATGCCCAGCCCACACTTCAGTCTGCTCATGAAAATGGTGTCAAAAACCTCACTAGAGTTAAGGTAGATTACATCTGCTGCTTTCTGCATTTCCCGTAGCCTAGAGGGCAGCTGTAATTGTCATCCTGTGACTGATTAATATTCCTGGCTCTTCCTCCTCTTATGTTATTTCCAACTGAAGAGCTCATAATTTTTTGCTATTAATCCCAGAGAGCATGACCTTGTATTTTGCAGTACTGAATTTCGACCCCTTTCTGTTATTCCAGTTCTCAAGGTTGGCATCTTTTCATCTTCTCTAGAATACTCTGATCCTTCCCTGTACTTTAAATGGCTCTCAACTTTGATTGCAAGTTCACTCAGAATAGGGAGTTTGAGAAATTACAGCATGAAAGGAAGTAGTCTTGGCATGGACTTGGCTTCAGGGTAGTGCTGGTCTGCATTGAGCTACAGAATGATTTTTTTACTGAAAAATATTTCCTCCCTGCAATCCCTAGTGCATGGGAAAATCATTTCCAAAAGGTATATAGGGAGTGAAGGGAGTATGACCTAGAAAAGCTAGTAAGATGCATATGTCAAATCCAGTTATTTTTTTTTTACTAATGATAGTGATCTATATATATAAAATGCTGAACAGAACACTTATCATCCCTGTGTTTGGCCTTAGGCTACATTCCCCATCAAAGGCAAAGAGATGCTGTTGACACCTTCCTGGTGAGCAAATCAGTCATGAGTGCGGCATATTTCTTTTCCAAGAAACATATAGAAGGCCACGTATTGGAAATTAGGACTCCTGGGTTTTCCAGAGCTCAGCATGTTCTTGAAACAAAGGTATTCGAACTCCATTCTACTTTCTCCCTTGCCTGCCTGCAAGGGCAGCTCTCTGGTCTCATCATTTTGCTACTGTCTACCCTCATCTTCTTTCCCAGTTATGGATGCAGGAGCACCACAGGGAGTGGGAGCAAAAGGACCTTTCACCCTGTCATTGCACACCCACGTGTGTGCTGGACACTTCATAGCTGACCAGTCCATCCTGGCTGCAGACATTTTCACACAATGAATGAGGCAGTGCAGTAATTTTATGCAAATCCATGTGCAGATTAAAAAATTAATCAAATTCTAAAATTTTCATTTAAAGAGATTAGTCTCAAAAATTCCCCTGCTAATCCTCCCAGAATAGTCACTTGGAACAAACCTTCACTGCTTTGCTTTCCTCCTGGGTTCAGTGCATCTCCTGGAAAATTTTCTCATAATGCTTTTGGGACCATCTGGAGCAGCAAGTTTGAGTTTGAGCAGGGCTCAGCAGGCAAATTGAAGTTGATATATCAAATGATAGAAAAGATGTGTCAGTAAGTGGGAACAGGGGAGTTTAAGGCAGTACAATCTCCACTCTGTTGTACTTCGTAGGTAAACTCCCATGGTGAGGCATGAAAGATGGAAGCTGTGAGCCTTGGTGAGCCTAGCAGTAATTTACATGCTGAGAGGCCAGAAGAAAGTCATGCAACAAGAAAAATGAGTAGCAAGAGACACTGCTAAAACTTGCTGTGTCTGGTAGTTTACTACTGTAACAAAGATGTAATCTGTCTTTAGAGCTTGAGCTCAAAATTATCCTGGAACACTTGGGATTTGATCCAGTGACATCGCAAGTACTTTCCAAGCCCCTGAGGGATTTTGGAGTTGACCCTGTGCACAGTGGGCCAGCCACCAACCACTGCCACACGGGGGGGAAATCCAGAGAAGACCTGATGACATTAAGGAGAAGCTAATTTAGGCCCCTGAAGATCTCAGTTCAATTAGACATCCTGGAGCATTAAATGTACAGCATCCTCTGATCTTGCAGCACCTGAAACGCTTGGGATGTGTGATTGCGTTGGCCTGCAGCAAGCGCAATTGCTCCAGCTTCAAGAAAACCACAAGCCCATGATGCAAACCCTTGAACAACCCTCTAACCACAGCACCTGGAATGGCTCAGCTCTGCCCAGCGATGGCAGGCCTGGCTCCTAGAAGGGAATATTTTTCTGGCTTTCAGATACATGCCATGGAGCAAGGTGCTGGTTCATTTTTCTCACTGCATGGGCATGGCCAGCTCATTTGTTCACCGTTTTCTTTCCCCAGTGTGACTCCAAGTTTATGGCTCAGACTGCACCCCCCTGTGTCCATGCTTTTGGTCTCATGCCACCATCCAATTTACCTGGCAGCTTACCACATTTCTGCCCCCAGTGCTGATCGTTTCTGTCTCCTTCTGGCTTTGGCTCCTTGCCTGCAGAATTGCTTTAATTAAAAAGTTAATGAAAGGTAATGCAAACGAGCACTTTGCCTGTATTTTATCAGAGTCCAGCTCCTCTCCCTCCCTCTTTCCCAGAGAAAGTGAAAATGAGGAGCTGGGGGTTTGCTGCTTTTTGTGGTGAGTTAACAGTGCAGGCTTAGGAGGAGCCCTATGAAGAACGATTTCTAATGGTAATGCATGCAAGCAAGTATGTAGATGGAGAACATTATTCATCAATGAAAGCTGAAGAAGTTTCCATTTAAAGGGGATTAATCTAAATCCCTTATAGTATTCCTGCTCTCTTTGGAACAGGCAATTCTCAGCATCATTTTTCTCCCAACTTTTCAAAAGACTATCTATACCCAAACTCCAAATTATTCTGAGCAGGGACAAAGGGAAGGTATAAACCTGAGTGCCACTGGTGCCTATAGTATGCCACGTTCTATCCATATAGAAGAGGACTCATTCATCCCTATGTGATTTCCCTGAGAAACCAGGGAACAAATATTAGTGCGTGAAGGCACAGGAGCCACATCATGAGCCCCTTCTCCCAGCCCAGATTCTTCCCATCCAGCAGTGGGAAGAGGAAAATGCAGGGATGTGAGGATGTAATTTCTCCATGTGCAATACAGAGCAGCTAACCAGCAATAACATAAATTCTAGACTCACTATCCTGGAGGTAGCTCAAGAGCTGCCATTTGGGTTATCTTTCTTTCCAAGGCTGCCTGTGCTTTGGTGTGGGGTGATGTTCAGTTCCCTTGATTTTTGTTTTTAAAGCCCTAGAGAAATGACTAGGAGTTTTAATTTTTGTTAATATCTACAGTGGATTTCATAGCACTGATTTATAGCTGGTCCCTGGTGATGTTCAGTACCCAGTGCCTGAGACTGTATAAATAAATTACATAAAAATGGATTTGTGGCATCATTAGCAGCACCCCCATTCCAAGGGGAGCCTCCAGTGAGCCTGTGTGTCTAATCAAAGCTGACAAGGAGCAGAGTTACACACTGAGACCTCCAGAGCTAATGGGCCTGTGCCAGATTCAGCTCCCTGTTGTGTTGGTGTAAAGTCAGGTAACTTCTGACTGCAAGGGGGTTTTACACCAGATTTACTCTACGTTTACACCCATGCACCATGATCAGCATCAGGCAGCATGCTGTAAAATCCTTAAGAGCAATAGAAAGACGCATGCTGACTTCAACAGGCTCTGGATCAGGCCTTGATGGTTAAAATATAATCTGAGTTCAGAGTGCAGAAAAGAAATTACATGCCTGCTATTGTAGTGAAACGCTTTCCAGAGCAAGCATTAGCAGTACGCACACGAGTGCCAGATGAATTAAGCTGGCATTTCTTTTTCTCAGCTCCAGAGGGGAGGATTGCTTTTAAACAACTCACGCCTGCTGTGTCGTGTCTGGAGTCGGAGCTGAGCGGAGCCACCGGCAGGGCACGTGTGACAGGAGCCGCAGTTGCAGGTCTGTTGTGCTCAATCCCCTGCTCTTCAGGGTCAGCCCCGCACAGAAGCATCAAGGCAGAGACAGAGCCTGTTAAAAGCTCTGGGGATTAGTTTTTAAAACTCCCCTGGCTCCATTTAAGCCCTTTTCTCCAACCACTTCTGCAAACCCTGTCTCGCAGCTCGGACGAGGCAACCTGGGGTGCGATGCACCTCTGTTTTGTAACACCTTCCTGCTTGCACTGTGCTGCCAGGTGAATCAGAGACCTGCTGGGAATGGAGATGCTAATCTCAGTTCCTGAGAGGTGCACAGCTGGAGTCACTGGTGTTAGCACAGTTACTCTGGCCCTCACTGTAAGAGGGCTGAGGATCTGTGCTTTGACCTGCTGGCAGCATCAGCTGCCATGAAGTTTAAGAGTCTAGTCACAGAATTGGTCAGGAACTCTGCCTTTTATTCTTTGTGACTGAAAAGCCAGCCCTTCTGGCCAGTACCTAAAGGGAGTATAGTCAGGTAGTTTATGTGCTTTGGGGTTTTACCTTTAAAATCTCCTAAGCATTGAATCATTTACAATTAGACTTGATCTTAAGGGTCTTTTACAACTTAAATGATTCTTGGATTTTTTTTCTTTTTTTTTCCTCTGGCAAACCTGTGCTTCTCCATATGGTTTTACCTGTAGGTCCTTTGTCTTTTAGATTTCAGAGTGTGTCCAGGTTTCACTGTCTGAGAAGGTGCTTGCATAGAGGTTTTCACAGAGCCTTTGGGTCCTTGCAGCAAAATAAGGCAGATTTAGATCCAGAGGAGCTGTTGGGAAGCTTGCCTGGCTTAATGATTAACACCTTGCAGTGCTATGAGAGTATTAGGACAAAGAGACCTCTGGACTCATGAGCTCTCCCGGAAGAAGCCAGCCACTGGCCTCGCACTGAAACACATCCATTTACTAGAGGGAAGATTAACCCTCTCAGGTAATTCGAATGGGTCTGCGATCCTGTGTGTTGCTAGGCTGCTTCAGCCTCCTGGCACCCTGTCTTAATTGCCAGCACCATAATTACCATGAGCAGAAGAGACACAGATCACAAGGATCTTTGATCCTGAGAAAGCAGCACTGAACTTGCTGCCAGTTAACAGAAAGAAGGAGAAATGCTGGGAAGGAATAGATGCATGTGTGCTGGCAGGGGCTGCCTTTCCTCTGTCAAGACAAGTGCCTGCCCTCCAGCAGTTGAGATCTTTCTGTCCACATGCAGATCTGTTGCCTGTAATGCTAATAGAGGAGACTAGCTCAAATGGGCTTTTGCAGACACAGCTGGCAACTTTGCAGGACCTGAGGCCTTACTTGGGCTTTAAATGTGATTTTAATGGATAATAAAGGACTAAAAAGTAAAGGCAAATGAAGCCTTGCGTTAATTTGCTGGACAGCTGGGAAACCTCGTTACTTGTTTCTCTGTGGCCACCAGCAGTAAGGGATCAGGCAGCCAGCAAGCCTGTTGTTTCTCTCAAGTCCATGCCTGATGCTGCAGGGACACATGGGGCAATGTGCAGCCAGAGAATGACATCAGCATTTGGCTGGCACAAGCAGGGAGTTAACGTAGCGAAAGCTGTTCCACCCAGATGCCCTGCTCTCTCCACGACAGAGAGCATCTTCCACAGTTTGGAAAGGCATCAAACACTGAACTAATAGAAATGATGGCTTGCCAGTGGCAAATGTACAGTGATGGAGAAGCTGGCTGGCAGGACTCACCTTCTCTGTGGGAGGTGATGGGATTGCAGCGAACCACAAGCTGACAAGTAGTCTGAATGTAACACTGCCTTTGCCTCCCACCTGACTGAAGAGAGGTTTGAAAGTGCTGTTGATATAGCACCTTAACCTAGAGGAAAGAGGAGCTAGAGCTCCATGGTTGGTGTTTTGCCCTCCCTGCTCTCTGTGTCAGCCCTGGCTCTTCTACTAGCAAAACTGTTCACATTCTCTTGCAGGTTGGAGGGTGTCAGCGGCCCCAGCTCTTAAAGCCTCGCCAGCATTGGCAGAACGTGTCGTGTCCAAGCCTACCTCACTGAGCAGATTGACTCACCCTGGCCACCTGTGCACCATGTCCCTCCGTGAGCATGCACTGACCCTCTTCTGCAGTGCAGTGGGCACTGTCCGGCCGGCTCCGATGCTGAAGAGGGCTCTGAAGCTCCAGCAAGATGGGTGCCCTCAGCTGCTGGTGAAGGGCAGGGCCTTCCCAGTGAAGAGGAACCTGTACCTGGTAGGTTTTGGCAAAGCTGTGCTGGGGATGGCTGCGGCAGCAGAAGAGATCCTGGGAGATCACCTCGTTCGGGGGATCATCAATGTGCCACTGGGCATCCAGGAGAGTCTGCAGCGAGCAGGAATGCAGTAAGGGGACCATGCCTGGGCATTTTCTGGGGGGAGGCTGACAGATTTATCCTCTGTGCAATGTTGCTGTGGCCCATTCAGTCCGTTCCAACTACCCTCGCTCTGGCGCTCACCCCATCCACCACACCACATCGGTCTTCAACCATCATCACGTCCCAGTGTCACCAATGACACAGCCCAGCTCTTGTGCTGGATGCACTGCCTCTGCAGGCCTGGGCAGGAGACATTCAGCAAAGGCCACCTCCCTGTCTTGGTCTCTCATTGTGCACATCTGGCACAGCAGGCCCATTTCTCTGCTGAGTGACAGTCCTGTGAAGGTGCACGTGTCAGTGGTGTGATTGCCTCTCTTACCTCACCAGAGAGATGCTGCTGAAGCCACACAGCAAAATCCAGGTCATCGAAGGTGCCAAGAACAACCTCCCGGACGCAGAGGCTCTGAAGGGAGCACTTGCCATCCAGGAACTGGCAGAGGGTCTGGCTGCAGATGACCTGCTCCTTGTGCTCATCTCAGGTAGCATGGGGATCCCAGGGAATGGGCTCTGCTGGGGGCCCTCCAGCTGCCTGCCCATGTGGGAGCACTGTGCTGTGCCAGCCCTTTCAGCACTGACACTTGCACCTCTGTCATTTCACCTCTCCCTTCTCCTGTGTAGCCTTTCTCTAGGGATGCAGCAAGGGAGGGCATGGAGCTACCTGCTACTGCAGTGGACATGCTGCCTCCCAGCACTGGCTGCACAGGTTGGGTGCTGAGGTCATGCCACCACTGTGAGATGACACCTCTGGGCACAGCTTGCCAGCTGCTCTCACCCCTTGGCAAGAAGATGCTTTCCTCCTGCCCCCTCCTTATATCTGGGGATACAGACTTGGAGAAGCAAGCACTTGGTGTACTTACGTGCTCCAAACTTGTACAGGGGTGCAAGTCTGTAAGCTGAGATTTGGGACTGACCCTCCATAGGGCTTTGCTGCTTCCTGGCCAGTGGAAACAAGGCCCCCACATTCCAACACAATGAGCTACAGCCCTGAACACACCCAGGCCCTGGCTGCTGGGTCGAGGGCTGGTGTAAGGAAGGCAGATATTGTGCATCAGAGGGATGCAGTGATATCACCCCAGCCTGAGCTCAGCTGGGTGAGCAAGTGTCACAGGTCAAAAGCATGCAGGGGCTTGGAGCAGCTCTGGAGAAACGCCATGGTCTCTGCTCAGTGACTGTTCCTCTATGGATGCTGGAGCCTGATCTGGTGCAGAGGGAGTAGTGGCATTAGGCAAACACCCAAGCGACTGGAATCTAGCTGCACTCGCTGGGCTTCCTCCTGTTCTTTGGCTGCAGGAATCCCCAAGAGACTCCTCAGCCCTTCAGGGAGCCTGTACAGGATCTCCCCGTGGCTGCGACTCCCTATGCATGTGCACTCCCACACAGCAGCCGGTCCCCAACTGCTCCTGCCTCTCAGCTAGATCCCTGGCTATTGACTGAAACATAGGCATTTGCATTTGTTTTTCTTGCTCATCATGTTTTATTGATGCTGGTTTGTCTCAAACCTCTGAGCAGGCTTTGCCTTTTGACAGTAGCTTTCAGCTGTACTTCTGTGCATGCTCATTCTCTGCTCAGATCTTGCTCCTTTCTACTCCGTATTTTCCATCCATTCCACTTTTCCTTTGGAACCTGCCTTCTTTCTGCCTTTCCAATGCCCGCTTGTATCAGACGATTCACTATATATGGGGTAGTGGGGATAGTAATTGGTTGCCCTTCTTTGTTGTCCCCACACCACTGCAGGCGTGCAGCGAGGTTTACACTGCCCAGATGAGATGTAGCTGAGTGCAGGCAGTGCAGGACAACTGTGATTAAAACCCATCAGTGAAGACTGAATTATGCAGAGATGTTAGCATAGTCCCCACTGACCTTTGCCTTCTCTCTATGCACTCATGAGGGAAGAGGAAAGGCACAAGTTTTGAACAGCCTTGCTTTCATTCTGTCGTGTTCCTGCTATCCTGATGTCCTTGCCATCTTTTCTGCATCCTAGGGGGTGGGTCAGCCCTACTGCCTGCTCCCATCCCTCCCATCCTCCTCAAAGAGAAGGAGAAACTCACAAAGATGCTGGCTTCCCGAGGAGCTGCCATACAAGAGCTGAACATTGTCCGGAAGACTCTGTCCTTGCTGAAGGGTGGAGGGCTTGCCCGGCTCTCATATCCTGCACAGGTAATGGAGAAGAAGCCCCTGCTTGCCCAGAGATCACCCACCGGCCCCTGAAATAGGGGTTTAATCAACTGAGCTAAGCATTTGGAGGATTTTCTCCTCACTCAGTGAGCAGCCTTTACACACTGTTTGGGTACTGTGGCTCAGATTTCACCAAGGACCCAAAACTCTCAGGGAGACAGAGATGAAAGAGGCAAATGTCAGACTTGGTGTGTGTTGGCTGTCCCATCACACCACTCTCAGCAGACGCCAGCCCTCATGCAGCAGGCACTTCCAGTGTGCTGGTGCTCCACCACAGAGTCCAACATGGCACTCCCTAGGGGCTGTTCTCAGCACACGCCATTGCTGAACCCACACTAGGCTGTAAGTGCGCCGACAAGTGCAGTGTCACGGGTTACATCTTCCAAAGCGATGGTCCAGCATCAAAGGATGTTGTAGAGTTGTGGGTTCAAGGGCAAGGTGACACTCACAGGACCCTAAACCAAAAATGGTCCAACATCTACCCATTTCCGTCTCCTTTGACATGAGGGTGGTACAAGTGTAGCTCAGAGCAGTGCTTATGCCAGGGCTCTTGCATGCTCTGCCTCCCACAATAATCTGTGGGCATTTCTTTTTGTAGGTGGTGAGCCTCATCCTTTCTGATGTGATCGGTGACCCCCTGGACATCATAGCAAGCGGCCCCACTGCTGCCAGCTCCCACACTGTCCAAGACTGCCTTCAGATACTCACCAAATACAACGTGCTGCACAGTCTGCCCAGGTCAGTGGAAGCGGTCCTGTCCAGCTCTCCCACCAAGCCCACTGCTCCAGAAGACTTCTCCCACGTTTGCAACTTCATCATCGGGTCAAACAGGCTGGCTCTAGACGAGGCCAAACGCCAAGCTGAGGGCCTGGGCTACACCACACTGGTTCTGAGCGCAGCAGTCTGCGGGGACGTTGGCCGCGTTGCCACGCTGTACTGCCAGCTCATCCAGCTGCTCTGCCTGGGCTGTGCCGGCCTCGGAGAAGGGCCCCAGAGTGATGAGGTGAGGAGGGATCTCCTGCAGCTGGTGGCAGAGCTCCAGATCCCAGGTCTGAACCTTGCTGAATTTCTACAGGCCCTGCGAGGATTAGGGTCTAAAACACCAGTGTGCATCCTGGCCGGCGGAGAAACCACAGTCCAGCTCCAAGGAACCGGCAAGGGAGGGAGGAACCAGGAGCTGGTCCTGCGCGTGGGGCTGGGGCTGCACAAGGCACGGGCCGTGGAAGCCAGGAGCTCCCCAGGGAGCTGTGAGATCTTCTTCCTCAGCGGTGGAACGGACGGGCAGGACGGGCCGACGGAGGCAGCCGGAGCTTTCTGCACCCCAGAGCTGGTGACTGAGGCATCGCAGGAGGGCCTTGATGTGGAGGCTTTCCTTAGCAGCAACGACTCCTATGCCTTCTTCAGCCAGTTCCAAGGTGGACATCACCTCCTGGTGACAGGATTGACAGGCACCAATGTCATGGACATCCAGGCCATTTTAATTAGAGCCATGGAATGATCCTGAGAGGTCCCTCTGCAGCTATCCAGATGCATTTAATTAGGACCCGGGGTAAAGGAAGGCATCAACACTGCAGACAAATGTAAACTACTTAAATTAGGGCTTGCTTTTGAGGGTGCTACTGTCTTTGACAGAAATAGTCCACTAATTAGACACAGGAGTGGACATCCACAGCAAAAGCAAGCACTTGTAATTAGAATCAGAGGGAGATAAGAGGTCACATTACAGACGTAGAGGCCGGATTTAACACTACTGCTGAGAGCCACCACACTTGTGACTGCTTCAACTGTAGTTAAATGATGTGAGGAAATGAAGGCCATGGTAGGGCTGCCAGGGAGAGCCCTCACAGCGGCTGTTGCACCTCAAGAGCAGCTCAGCAGCGGGCTTATGCAGTTTCACAGGAGTGCGTTACAGAGACCAAAAGATGTAAAAGCAGTGGCAAAGCCTGCCCAGCTCAAGGCAAGGAGGTGCTGGGGAACATGGTGGGAAGGGGACACCCAGCACCCACTCCAGTGCGCTGCAGCTTCTCCCACACCAGCATACCTCAGCAGAGACCTCAAGCCCAGCATGATGCACACCAGTGTAGCTAAGGGGCACATTGGCAGAGAAGTGCTTGGTGCCGGACCCATGACACAAGCAGTGCCCAGGACAGTGACAGAGGGTGGTCTACCTTCACTGTGCAGCATAAGGATGGGGATGGCTGATTTGCAGCAGCAAGCCAGCTGAGTGGGGTCCTCCTCTTCCAGCCTCCTTCCCTCTGCAGGAACATCATCCCTGCTGATCCCTGGTGGGAGTTTCCGTGCCAGCAGCATGTGTGCTGTGAGCTTCCACGGTGTTGTTTTCCAACTGCCTAGAAAACAGTCATGCACCCAGTCTGAGCCACTGACCTTTCTCCTGTGCCGAGGCAGAAGTCGCTGTCACTCTGATTAACTCTGCTAATTCCACAGAACAAAAGGCAAGGAAACCTTCATGCTCAGCTCTCCTGACCCATGCTGCTGAGCTGATCAAAGGGCAAAGCTGCTGGAGCTGTGCTCTGACAGGGAGCCGCTCCCCCGCATGTATGAGGATGAGGTGTTTATCACAGTTCCATCACCTACTGCAGCACATATGTGGGAGAGCAGAGATGAGCTGGGTTTCCCAGGACATGGAGCCTGCAGTGGGACGGGATTTCAGAAGGGTTCTGCCTGTAGCAACAGGCACGGGGATGGTTTTGGCTGGATATTCAAAGGACTTCAGCCCAGCAGCCGGTATGACCCAACATGTCCGACTGAATGTCTGCCTGATTGTTACAGAGCCTAAGTAGAAGCTGAGCTCCTTTGAAAATCCAGCCCTAATTTAATAGGACACGCTTGACTCAGACTCTTTCCAGACTCTCTGTGGCTGATCTCATCTCGTGACATAAAAACACTGTTGCACCAACATCGTGAGTCGTGGTGTCTCACTGCAGTCGTTCTGCGCCCTGCTCCAAGATGGATCAGAGGGTGGATTTGGGAAGGATGCAACACCTCCTGCTTTGGTTTTGAAGCCAGTCTCCAACAAGTAGGGATATCAGCAGGACCACCATGGGGCCTGGTATCAATGCCAGGCTGGCAGCTGGACTGTCTGGGCCACAGCCCAGAGGCAGTGTCAAGGCACAGGCCTGGAGATTTCAAAACCCCGGTCTTATCCCGGTGGGTTAAACTCATCCACACGTCTCATTTGTCCTGTGAGTCTGCAGGTCTTCTGTAACATGCCTGAACTTGCTCATGCTGGCAAACAGCTTTGAGATCTGCTGGGGAAAGCCTGCCAAGTGTTATAGAGCTCACAGTGCCCCTGCGATGTCAGGTGGTGGTTGCACAGGAGAAGGTGCTTTGTGCTGTGTGTTTTAGTCCAGAGGTTGCTGGCAGGTCACCTCCTCCATGCCCAGCATGCCAGCACTGTGGGGCACTAACATGTGCACTGATACAGCAAAAAAACACTAGCTGCAGCCAGGATAACAGGCTAAAGCTGGCTCCAAAATGTTGTTAATGCTTCCTGTCCAGTTCTGCTCCAGTGAAGTCCAGTGTGACTCCAGTTTTGGGCTGGCATGCCTGGCGCAAGGGTCGCTGGCATCTCCAGCCAGCCTAGGTACACTGCCACAGGGGCACCATACCCTGTGCTCTGCACCCTGCCTCATTGCTGAGCACTGTGCTAGTCCTTGGAGCTGCTGCTTGTGCTGCATCTCTTGTCAAGTCCGTAAGACCTTGGGCTCCCATTTGCTGGCTTCTCCTGGGAAATGCCTACCACATGTACCCTGTCCTTCCCTTCAGAACAGTGGCTTTTCACTAGTGATTAAAAGGAGTTTGTGCTGGGGAGGAAGGCAGGCTAATAAGAGGTTTGTTGAAAGGATGGAGCTGTTTGAAGTGCACTTCACATCTACATTTGCCTGGCCTCCGTATACAGCTTTTGTTCTTGTCCCCTTTTCTAATGAGAAGATAACAGGGCAAGGGGAGGTTGACCAAGAACACCCAGCTTACCAAAACACTTCTCCTCTTCCGATGCTTCTACCTAAACAGATCAAAACTCCATTTCTGAGGGATTCCTTAGGTGAACCCTGTGCATCTTCTACCTAGGGAGGAAAGGAGCTTTGAACTGCATGCAACCCCCATAAACAAGGCACAGGTTTATTCCTATGGTCAATGCTTAGCACAGAATTGCCTGTTGCTGCTCCAGCCCAGAGCCAGCTCCCTCTGCCCTGCAGTCCCTTTGCTGACAGCAGAACACCCCATGCATGACCCAGCACACATTTGGCCTGCAGTGGTCAGGACTGGCAAGGATTTGCAAGGTAACAGTTGCATCTAAAGGCACAACAGCATCGCTCACCTGCCAAGTAACAGTGGGCTGTCAGAGCCTGGAGCAGCAATGAGCTTCCCATTGGGAACTTGAGTGAGTCACAGCAGCTGAGCAGGGCTTTGGGCTTGCTGCACTGTCCCGGATGGGTTATTGGCATCGTGTGAGCATACCCGGGCAAATGATGAAATCCGGAGTGCAGCCACGGTTACACACAATGAGGGGATCCAGCATGCAGGCCATGCTGGAACCAGCTCCACGCCATCCCTGCTCCGATGTGCTTGTGCCTAGGGAGACAAGTCACAGACACAGTGAAGACAATAAGAGCTGCTTGGTTTGGATGCTCTCAGTCCCCTCCCTCTTTAATGTAAGGGCAGCATTCTACACCAGCCAGCTTCCAGGAAGGAGGGAGGTGGGTGGGCATGGCCAGCAGCTCCCTGGCAGGGGACACAGGGACTGCCATTGAGGAAAAGCACACCCCACAGCTGGGCAGGGAGCAGGGGAGTGAATCACAGGTGTGTTTGGGGTTGATTCGCTCTCCTCAGTGGGCTGCTTACAGCCAAACAGTGCTAATGGCCAGGAGAAGTAAGGGCGTTATTAACAGCGTGGGCTTTTGGCAGTAAATTAAAAATCCTGGCTGCAGCCCTTGGCTCTGCTCTTGCCTCTTAGGAGGCATTAATATCACAGCTCCCCAGCATTCCCATTATCACTTCATTAAGGATCCAATAATGATAGATGTGGATGGTTTTATTTTCACGAGCCTGATTAACGGCCAATATTTCAGTAGGTGTTAAGGGGTTCCCTCCTTTATGGAGGGCTGGAAGGGGGCTGCCTTTTATCTCCAGAGCCACAGTTCTCACCACTTTCACTAATGTGACAGATTTAATGCAAACCTTGGGGCCTCTTGAGAAACTTGGAAGAGCATCACGCTTGGGACAACACTTGCTGCCGTGGCCATTCCCAGGCTCCTTTCTCCTCCTTTTCTTCCTCCTCCTCTTACCGTGTCCTGCTGGCATCGCCTCCTTCCAGTGTCTGCACCCAGACGCCGTCACCCATCTCCTGGGATAGTTCTGGTGCAGAATCACACCTGTCCTTGCAAGGTGGTGCAATGCGAGGAGTGGGCTTGTGCTGGCCTCACGCCAAAGCAGCTTGGGACCCCTTACCTGCCCCCCATGAGAGCTGGGGTGCAGGACAGAGCCCGCGCTGAGGCCGGCAGCGCTCCTCCAGCACCCCAGGATACAGCTTTGGTGGCTCCCCCGAGGCTGGCTCCATGGCACAGGGGCTGTTCTCCGCCGTAGGACCCCGGCGTATTGCACGGCTTCAATCCCTATATGAAGTGGGATGTTTAATCACATAGGAATAAAAAGCCATACAAGACAGCAGGCTGCGAGTCGCTCTGTGCTGGCCAGTCCCTCTGCAGTGGCTGCCACAGACCCTGCTGGGATGTGGCTGTGCCCTCGGGAGCCCAACCCCCAGCCCCTGTGCAGGGTCCATGAGGAGACAGAGGAGCCCTGCATCAAACAGAGAGGAGAGGCGATGCTTCAGCCAGCAGGAAGCAGGGGAGGCCCCAGAGCCACTGGAGAAGGATCCCTGTGGGGTGTCAGAACTTGCTGTCAGCTAACAGGGGCCTCCCACTGGAGCTGAGACAAGACTTACCCTGTGGTACACCCACACCTCCCCCTTCTGCCCATCCCAAAACATCATCCTCCAGGGGCTCCTCCGGCTTGGGGGCTCTCTGCTTGCCAACACCATTGTCCCCAGAGCTGTATCAGCTCCACCAGGGCAACCCCCAGCACCATCAGAAACGCCTGGTGGGGGGGGGGTGAAAAGGGGCCATCCCCCTCCCCATGGTGGTCAGAGCATCCTCTGCTGTCTGACCAAAGAGAGCCTAGAGGGCTGCAGGAGCTGTCAGAGCACAAGCCCCCTGGCAGCCCAGTAGAGCAGCTCCCAGCTGCCTGCAGGAGCTCTTGACAGGGGCCAGGCACTGGCGTGAGCAGGGACCCTCAGGTGGAAGGTGGATGTGGGTGGAATGGGGCCAAGGAGCTATTGCCCAAGGAACACTCACTGAGGAGCCTTGGCTCTGTGTGAAACCTGGAGGGTTTCCTGCCCACATCAGCCCTCACCCACCTGCTCCAAGAGATGTGAAGAGGCGAAGGTCAAGCCATGGCACTGCCATGGTTTGGGAGGATGGAGGGGTCATCCCTAGCCTGGCTCTCCCTTGTCCAGGCTGTGCCACAGCCATTGCCAGATGAGACCCCGTGGCTCCTCAAACAGCACAAATCTCACAGCTCCAGGGGCTCGAGCCAACCAAAGTCCCCAGCAAACCCCACGCAGGAGGCGAGCCAGTGGCAGTGACGGCACCAGAGTGAGCTGGGTTCAGTGATGGAGCCACCGGGTGCTCGGTCGCCTCTTAACTGCCTCCAAACCAGATCAGACATCAAGGGATCATCATCTGATGAACTGTGCGAAAAGACGCGCTTCTGAATCACTGTGCCCAGGCTGGGTAAGAACACTGCCGGTGCTGTATCTGGGACTAATTGCTCTCCAGGAGCATGTGAATCATTAGGTATAATTACCCTAATAAATAAAAGGAAGATAACGGCAGTCTCTCACCTAATCTAACACAAGTGATTTCCAGGGCGAGCTGTGTGAAATAAACCAGGAGCACAAGGCGGAGGGAAAGCAGAAAATGGGGAGCTTCAAACCCTGGTCATGCTGTTCACCCCCCTCGCAGCAATGGAAGCCACAAGCAGCGGTGGAAGCTCGCCCACAGGTCCCCACTGGAGTTCAGTGGCAGAGGATTAGCCATAGGGAACTCAGGTTTGGCTACAACAGGGCTGTCCCTTCCCAAGGCAGCATCCCACGGGAGCACAGCTGCTCCTGCCAAAAGTTTCCCTGACACAAAAATGCCATCAGGTTAAGAAAAGGGATTTACTTTAGGGGTGACAAGGGGGCAACGGTTACAAAACCAGTTTGGCTTTCCCCTGGGAAGCACTGGAGTGAGAAAATAAAAACCAAATGCACCCCACTCAAAGCTGACATTTTGAAAGGAAGCAGCAATTTTCTTCTCCACTTAAAATGTCATCACAGACTTTTGCATTAAAAAGAAGCCTTCCCTGAGTGATATTTTAAGAGGAAATGTTGACTTGAAAGCAGAAGGAAACCCCCAGCCCATGCAATGAAGCGCTTTGAGCTGCAGTGAGACTCCTTGCACGGAAATTGGTATTTTTGCAGTAAAACAAAAAAAAAAAAAAAACCCACAGCAAAATGGCAAGTAATTACAGAACTTCTGCATATTGAATTTCCCATGGGACAAACCTGTCCTCAGGGAAGCGAGGCTTCCTTCTGGCTTCCATCCAGGCCAGATCTACACAGGAAAGGATGGAGCAGCACCACTGCCGGGCCCGGAGGAAGCAGCATCCCCGCTCTGGGGCACATTTTCTCTAAAGCCCTGCAAAGCAAAGCAAAAACCTGGCGGCAGAGGCTGGTTGTGCCTGGGGGGGGGGGGGGGGGGGGGGGGCAGGTGAGCGGGGCTGGCTCTGTGCTGTCCCCAGCACAGGAGCTGCCGCTGCCCAGTGCGCTGGTGGTGAAGGGGCTGAGGCTGGGGCAGGGAGCCCAGGTGAGCTATAGCAGGGTTTATCCCGCCTCCTCCAGGTCTCCCCACAGCCTCCACAGGGAGAACAGGATTTACTCTGTGACTCAAGGGAATCCCCAGTCGCTTCCCAGGAAGCACGAGGACCGGGGCTTGTCCCTCTTCCGCTTGCAAGAAGGACTGGGCTCTGCCTACGATGCTCCATGAGATCCGGCTGTGCCATGTCATGCCGGCAGCTCTTCTGCTGGTGCGGTTTGACCAGGAGCAATCTGTGCTTGGGCTCTCCCCGAGCCACCGTTATTGCTGCCTGGGTTTGGGGGTTTTTAATGAGCTGGAATATGAAGAGCCTGCCCGGGAGAACAGAGGGATTATTGGCAAATATCACTTCCCAATTGACAGGCTTCAAGGGGCTTTAGCCACGTGGATGAACTGGGGGCACAGAGAGGGACACAAACCACCAGGCTGGGACAGACCAGGGCTGAATTCTTTTAACAGAGGACTAAGCAAAATCCCACAGACAACAAGTATCCTCCAGCCTCCGAGGGGGTGGGAAGGGCTGCGGAATCCTAATTAGCTTTTTGATATTAATGAATTGGCACTGAAGCAAACAAGCTGGCAACAGCGGCTGGCACAGCTTCTGCTGCCACCTCCCAGTCCCAGCACAGGGCTGCCTGCACAAGGGGCTTGGTAGCGCATCCCCTCAGCTGGGGGCAGCCTGGGACATGGGGATCCAAAGGAACAGAGGGACACACACACTACTGTGGGAAAGGAGCTACTTAAGCACAATGGACCAGAGAGGATGCAAAGCACCCAGGATGCTAGTGCACATGGCAGGGCATGCCACTGTCCTGGTCCCCATCACCACAGCTCTCGCTGGGAGATGCCATTGCTTGCACAGGGACACCCACCTTGCCAGTGGCAAGAGTAAGGCTGAGTCACTTTGTCCCCACATGAAGCCGGCAGCTCAGGGATGGGGCACCCCATCACCAGCATTGCTGATGGATGCCCACTGGATCAGAAGCCGAAGAGCCAGCAGCTGGAGACACAAGGTGTGCAAATAAGACCTTACAGTGGACACCTACGCCTAGTGAAGGTCTCCAAAATCCCTTCGGGCATCCAACAAGTACACCAAGAAGAGCCACGGGTGCAGAGCCAGGGTCCCATGCCAGGGATGCTGGGAACATCCTGCAATATTAGTCAGAACTGTTAGTTACAAGCTGCTCCTGGGGAGGGAGGGAAAGGAGCCTCCCTCTTGTCCAGGGAGGGCCAGTGACTGACAGCTCCCTTCTTGTCTCTAAACAAACACCTCCTAAGGAAAGGGTGAAGGGGCTCCCCATAACTGACCCCCCAGCACCCTGGGAGCCACCCACCAGCAGCTGCTGCTGGATGTACAGCCCATCCACAGCCCCATCACTAGTAGAGAGCACTCAAAGAGTGTAGCAGTCCTGGCCCAGCACAGGCTACAGAGATAAGCCTTGTGGAAAGCCACACACAAACTTAGGGTGATGCCCTATGAGCAGAGACAACCCTCACAGAGGCACAGCTCAGGGTCCAGCTCACCTCTGCCTGTACCAGCATCTCCAGCAACAAGCCCAGCCTGGGAAGACACGCGAGCTTTGTCCCAGTGCCTAGCTGAGTTGTACTTGCCAGCACAGCCCCACTCAGCCTGCAGACTACATCCCAACCCTCCTCAGCCGCTTTAACCTCTTATAAACCCTCCTGGAAAGGCAGGAATCGCTGTGTGCTCTGCTGAGCCACCAGAAGTTGATTAAGCCCTAATTAATTGCATTAAGGTCAGCCAATGTACTCTGTTAAGGAAGAAAGCCAATAATTAAACTCCACGTGGGGCGTGCTTCTGCCATTAGCTCCCCAGGCTGCAGCAGTGGAGCCGGGCTCGCCGGGGTCACAGCCAGCGCCGCTCGCCAGCACATGGTGGTGGCAATCGGGGGAATAATTAAGTGCCAGGCATAAACCCGTCAGCGCTTCAGTGGCCGGCTGACAAAGCCCACCCAGCCCTATGGCTGTCAGCAGTGGGGCTGCCCAGGAAGGGGCTGCAGGGAGCGCATCCTGTGCAGGGAGCCCTGGGGACTTGGTCAGGATAAGCCATCTCCCCGGTGGTGCTGGGGTGAGGGGAGCAGCAGGGGCTGGAGGGGGGGTCCCTGCCTGGGGAGGGAGATCCTGAGAGTGCTGACAATGAGGTTCTGCATAGCCCAGCCGAGAGCACCTGCCCCAGGGCTGGGAGCCGGCCAGGGGCACCATATGGAGGGGCCCTGCCCCTGGCTGCGGTGGTACATCTCAGCATGTGGCCCGTCTGGAAACAGCCCCTGGCATAGCCAGGAGCCTGGTGCTGAGCCGTGCAAGATGGGCCATGCAAGCCCTGCCTCTGCCCATTGCCAGTCCAGCCCAGAAATGCAACCACCAGGCACAGAGGTGATGGTACAAGATGGGTACAAGCATCAGGTTGCTCCTGGCCACCTCAGCCCCAGCTGCTACTTGCCGTGAGAAAACAAGGGTACACAGGGGAGCCCCAGCCCTGAGCCTGGCCCTGCGGCTTTGAGGTGGAGCAGGGAGCAATGGGGCAACAGAAGCTGTTGCTGGCATGAGGGATCGGGTCCTGCAGCTTCTGGGGAGGAGAAGGAGCGGGAGGGTGAGCTGGGGATCTGCTGGTTCAATCCCTCACCGGCAGCAAGCTCGTTTAAGGCTTTTCTTTGCTCCCAGATGTAAAAATAAAGGCCAAGGTAATCTGCCTGCCTGTCCCTCTTTGTCTCAGGGATAATAGCACACAGCGCAGTGTGGAGCCCCCCCCCCCGGGCTTTGCAGATTACAGCTTTCAGAGATGTCTACAGTGCCTGGACAAAAATGAGAGGTGGTGGAGCAGAGCGGGACACCAGGGACGTCACAAGGTCACCCACTCCCTGCCTGCCTCGCTGCATCTCCCCTCTCCTTGCCCTGCCACCAGCTGGGTGGGCGATGGGATGGTGGCCGGGCAATGGGACAGCAGCAGCTCCCCAGCGCCGAAGGCTGACCCTTCACTGAGGCAGAGTTATGAATATTTCACGGGGGCTTTTTGCTTCATAATTCACACTTCACTGGCTCTGATAATTACACATCTGATCCGAGGCGGGGGGGGAATAGAGACAAACCCATGTCACCCACCGCAGGAACAACGACAGTACGAGCTGCCTCTCCCATACTCACAATGATTTCTCTGCAAGCCACCTTCAGACCTGAAATGACTGGCTGGAGACACGTGGGAATCGCTGTATGGGGCTGAGCTGCAGCTGGCTTTTCAATAACTCAAAGGGTCAACACACGGGAGAAAAAAAAAAACAACCCCAAACCAATTCCCCCTCTTCCCATTAGTTCTGTCTGGCAGGAGGCGTCCCAGCCCCGGCAACGAATATCCGCTCAGGAATGTCTCATGTCTAACAGCACAAAAAAAGAGAAGGGGGGAGGTGGGAGGAAGCCCTATGCCCGGCCTTCTTTCCCCATGGCCGAGTTCAAACGGTTCAAGAGGGCAGGCAGGGGCAGGCAGCGGCTCACAGCACCATGTGCTGATGCTCAGCAGGCAGAGGGGCCGATCGGAGGGAGATGCTTTCCCGTGTGCACCGCTGTCCCCTGCTCTCCATCCGCGCTGTGGCTGCCCACGCCAGCCTTGGGTCACAGCCGGGCTCCAGCTCCTGCTCATCCCCTTCCTCCTGTCACTGCACACGTCATTCCTCCAAACACAGCCCACGTAGTCGGCATTGCCGACACCGGGGAGCCGGCCACTGCACCCCACGGAATGGGGCTCGGTGCCTTCGTGCTCTGCTCCCACACTGCCCAGGTTTATTTAGTTGATCAAAAGCATCAGGGGCCCAACACCACAACAGCATCCCCCAGAGAAACTTCTGAGGAAGAGGTATCTCTGCAGGCATTTTACAGACCCCTGTATGCATGTACCCCCTGAAACACCCTGCATGGCCTCTGTGTGCCACCCACCCTGAGTACCTCTCTGCTGCCTTTTGGAGCCAGCCCTGAGAAAGAGAAGGAAGCAGATGGGGCAGAGGGGACACAGAGACACCAGGCAATAAAACCCAAGATCCTTAACACCCCAGCTCTGAGCTCAGACCTCCTCGCTCCTCTGCCCCACGTGGGGTGCCCACACCTTCGCACAGGCACCCACACTGGCTGCCACCCAGGGCAATCCACAGCAATCAGTTGAAATTCTAGCTCCATGCTCCGTGCTGGATGGAGATAAGGACAAAACTACTCCTCTGCTTACAAACAAGGGGACAGATTCTCCTGCCAGCATCCGGCAGGCGGTACCAGAGCCAGCGAGGCCAAACCTGGCCACAAAGCAGCTCCGTGCAGGGATCGCAACCGGGATCCAGCAGCCTGCCCGCGGTGTGGGGAGCGGGAAGTGCGGATCAGTTCCGGCTTCTCCTTTTACCTGAGGCCAGCGTGAATCCCAGTGGTGCAGGAGGAGCGACGTGAAGTGAGGGCGGCTTGGGGAAACAGGATCCCCTCCTGGGGACAGTATCAAAGACACATGCAAAAGGGAAAATAAAAGACCAACCCTTCCGTCCCCTCATCCCCATCCCTGCTCCAGACAAAGGCAAACCTGGGTACACGTGAAACACAAACCACACCAAGACCCCAGGCTGGCCCAGGCTCCCCTAGCCCTATGGCACCCCTGGGGACCAGTCCCACGCACAGACCTGAGTGGCAGCGATGCCCAAACCAAGACATGGGGCCCATGACGAAAATCATGCTGGGAGAAAAGCCCACCCAGGGGGAGGCAGCGCCGGGAGGTACCTTTGCGATCCCCAGCCACACCGACGCTGTCCCCCGATCACGGGGCACCCCAGTGCCGCTGCCCTGGGAGGTGACAGGTATTTATGGGGGTGAGCGGCTATCCCCCCGCGCTGGGGACCGCGGCTGCCATTGGCTCCCGCGCAACCCAGGCAGCATCGATCTCCAGGGGCTCGCTCTGACAGGGCCAACTTTACAAGGGAAGCAATTATTTCTTCTCTTTTTTTTTCCTCCCCATCTGAAACAAAGACGAGGGCTACAGCGAGTGAGAGCACGGATGAGAAAACAGGCGGGGAGGGGGGGGGGGACTGGAAGAAAACCCACACAAACCCACGGCCCTTGAAACAGGAGGGAAGGATAAAAAAGAAACCGGAGGCTGCAGAGGTAGACGTGGAGATGGAAGGGCAAAAAATTGCAGAGGGAAGAGGCGGCAGCCGGGAGCTGCGCGGGGAGCTCGGCCGTGTCACACGTACCGCACCTCCGCGGAGCCACCGGCCACCCCTCCGAGGCCACCCGGTGCGATGCCGTGACCCACGGGGACTCAGTCCCTCGTGGCGGCTGAGAGGACACGAGGGATCGTGCCCACCCCCCCCCCCCCCCCCCGGCTCTGCTCCTGCTTCCCCACAGCGCTCCCCCGGGTGCGCTCTCCACCAGGACCCACGTCCCCACCGCGGAGGCCAGAGCAGTGACCGCTGAAGCCGGGGGGCCACGGCGAGCGGCCGGGGGATCCCACCGCGCTCTCCCGCGGATCCACCTGCCGTTAGGCAGGCGGCGACCGAGCCCACGCCCGTGCCAGACCCCGGCATCCCACGAACCCGCTTTCCGTGGGCTCCCCCTCATCACGCCGAGCAGCTCCCGGGACCACCAGCCCTCCTCCCCGGCCGGCCACGCAACCGCCTTCTTGCCCCCGGCTGCAGCACCCTCCGCCAGCAGGATCCGTCCCCGGGTCCTGCCCAGCGCCACCGGCCAGCGGCTCCTGGGGCGGGGAGCAGCGGGGCTCCGGGCTCCTCCGCTCCCTATCCCAGGGGATGCTCCCGCCAGGGCCGGTCCCAGCGGGCAGGATCCGGCCCCGCTCGCAGCCCTCCCCTGCACCCGCCCCGCGCTGCGCTCCTGCCCCGCAGCCAGGTCCGCACCGCCCGGCCGCGCTGCCGGTGCCGGTCCCTACCTGCGCGGCGCCGCCGCCGTCCCCGTCTGCAGCCGCCGCCGCCGCCGAGCCGCGCTGCCGCGGGGGCGGGCAGCGGGAAAGCGGGGGGGGGGGGGCAGCGCCCCCTCCCCGCCCCCGGCCTTCCCCCGGCCCCGCCGGTCCGCCCGGCCCGCCCCGGTCCCGGCCCCCAGCCCCTGCAGCGCCGGCAGCAGCTCCCGCCCCTCCGCAGCTCCCCCGGCCCGGCCCTGCCCTGCGCCCCCCCGTGACCCCCCATCCGGGGGCCGCACTGGGGCCGGGCACAGAGAGGCACAGCCCAGACTGGGGGCAAAGAAGGGAACAGCCCGGGGTGGGGGGCACAGCCTGGGACGGGGATGGCCACTGTGGGAGAGAGACCAAAACCGTCTCAGCCAGGACCCAGCATCGTCACCGGCCTTAATTTGCACTGAGCCACCGCAGGTTCAGGGAAGTGGCTGCAACTGCCCTCAGACGCATGGCAGTGGGGTGCTGCGGGTGCATCCCACACCGCTGCCACAGCCCTGAGTGCTGGGGCACAAACAGGCCCCCAAAACCACGCACGCACGAGCACTCCTCTGTATCCTCAAGACAGATATGGCACCTCTGCCAGGTGCTCCTGGGCAAGGTGGCTGCCACATAACCCCTTGGGTGATGCCAGCTCAGAGGGAGCTGGTGTTGTAACCCATCCACATGCACGCCTCCCCCTTTGAAGTCTCACAACCAATTCGTGTCTCACTTCACCTCCAAGGACAAGCCAGCAGAAAAATCAAAGAGAACGTGCAGGTGGCACCCAGGCTCGGTCCCTTTCACAGTGTCCTGCCCGCTCCCAGCACCACATCACTGCTGGCTGGAGCGTGT